TTCTCCTTTCCATCAGTGAAGCCAAAAAAATATTCCATTCTCTATTTTCAGGCAAAGGTAGGAAAGAGATGGGTGAATTTTACTGTAGACAGTCTGAACATGAGACATCGGACACTTTGTCCACCATTTCAGTTTCATCTGATCATTTCTGCACCTTAAAAAGTTGGGAGAGTAAAGCTTTTACCATTTTGTAATGGGGGCCGAGATGTTGTAGAGGCAGGGCAGCCGACTCGAGACCCGAAAGTCCCAGGCTCGATCTCCAATCATTGCACATCTCATGGTGTCTCTGAGCATCAAACCCTATCCCCAATTGCTCCCCGGGCGCTTTCAATAGCTGCTCACTACTCCACCTGGTGGTGGATGGGTTAAATGCAGAGATCCAATTTTGCCATTGTATGGGAACATACAATGATGACAATACATAACACATTATTATTATTATTGACTTTCTTTCTCACAACACTCAAAAAATAATGTACACAAAAGGTCGTGAATATTGGACCCGAACTGAACCGAGTCTACCGGACTATCTGGTGTGAAAACGACCTTAATTTCTGTCTGTCATCTTTGACCACATGGGGTGGATTTCTCCTAAAAAAAATAAAGTCCTAGCATTCCTTGAAGGACTGCATATCACCCGCCACCTTTCAAGCCAGAGTTTTATGTATGTGTGTGTATGTATGTGTTGTGAATAACTCTCCACTACTACTGCATTGAATCAATGTCTGTAAAACTTGACTGTTATACTCATTTTTGTGTTTGTAAAGATCAATTAGTTAAGGTGGACATTTTGAATGGGGTTGATTCTTTATTTTAAAATCCATTCGCTGGTTCAAACACACACTCCAAGTCTTTATTGATTGATTTTCACTGATGGTGTCACCGAAATGCCTCTGAACCCAGAGGACACAACCTCTAGACAAACTTCTGCAGAAACGGAACTAACCCATGACTGTGTGTCATGTTCTGCAGGAGTTGTTGAACCCAGGGTGCAGTGTCGTGGAAAAAAGGAGATTCCCAACAGACCAAGTTCATCAGATTTATTTACAAAGCTTTGGAGAGCAATTGATGCTTTTGAGCTATGGTGCTGGAGGAGATTCCTACGAATTTCGTGGACAGCACGCATCACCAATCTCAAAGTCCTGGAGCAAGTTAAACCAAACCTTCCTGAACCGGACAAGTTAGTTTTATAGAGTAACCTCCAGCCCAGTCCTCAGACCCTCCCCTCCATGTTCAAGCCGTCATTGAAAAGTCCGCTGCAGACAGGAAGGAGTGGATCAGAGTCAAAGACTCTGCTTGAAGACACATCATCATATCATCTCTATCATATCAACTCTATCATAACGATATCATATCAATCAACTAGGAATGCGCGATATATACGGTACACGGTAGAAACTATAGACATTTAGCCTATAATAGAGATCTGTATTTTACCGGCTAACTGCAATAACGCTGTGCTTGATGTAAAATCAGAGTTGTCATATTTAATCGTTACTTTTTTTTGGTTGAAAACTGTGCGTAAGTGGTGTTAAAGCCCTTTCTTCGAGAGCTAAGTAGTGAAGCTACAAGCTGACTACGACCGGCTTGCCTTATTCATATTCGGACGCATGCGCAAAACGCTGTGTTGCTTAGAAAGTTTTTTTTCGTCAAAAGTTTGTTGATCAGCTTTAGAGAGTCCATTTGAGGGTGAAAAAAAGGGTTAAACCTGCTCATTGATCTGTGAAAAGAACGCTGTGTTGTGTGATTTTACTGCGAGACCCTCTGGTCAAAGCCACAGAGGAAACTGGTCGCCATTTTGTGTCAGCTCTCCTTAAAGTGGAAGGAGACTCTCACTAGAGGGTTGGAGGGTGAAGTGTTTTCAGTGTAAAATGCTGCTCTGTTGCTGTTCATTTATCTTAGGTGATAATAATGGAAACTGTTAAAAGTTAATAACATATTATTTAGTTTAAAACATATGGCTAAAACTACATTTGATAAATTTTGCACTGTTTTGCACTATAAGAAAGAAGCCTAATACTTGATTTGTTAATTATTTAAAAACTCTCTGGACCTAGTAGTGGAATTTTCTTAATTGTGATTATTTTTTGGTATAGCAGTTTTCAAAATAAATAATGGCAAAAGGACACACCATGCTTTTTTTCATTTCTATTGCAAGTTTTATACTAAAAACATATCGTGATATATATCGTTATCGCCACCCTTCACAATACATATTGTGAAATGAATTTTATGCCACATCGCACATCCCTACAATCAACCCTTGAGGATATAAAAAACAAACAGTTCTTTCTGTTCCTCACTGACTGGTCATAGTAGAGTGATTACATGTTAATATCACACATCCAAATACATCAGCAGAAGAATGGACATTGCAGAACATTCCAGCAGGAGCGATATCAAGCATGATGAGTGCAAATTATACACATTACACTAACAGCAGACATACACGAGGAACTCGAATGTAAAGAAAACTGATTTATTAATAAACACAAAACAAAGGCTGACGTGGCAGTAAATGTTACATGAAATAAGAACATGGGGAGAAACAGAGGAACAGAACATGGCGGCTATGGGAAGCACAATCCACGGACGAGGGACAAACAAATTGAGACGTATTTTACAGGAACACTAATGATAGACAATGACAAACACCTGAGGAGAGACGATGAGGAGCAGGTGAGAGTGAGAGGAGCAGGAGCTGACTACATGAGGGGGAAAACATTGGGAAATCTGAAAACGCAAGTAAAACGAAGTCTGAGAAAACTAAATGCAATAATCACAAGATTAAAAAAAACACACAACACAAGGATCCTGACAACAACTTTGTTTTCTAGTGTTTGACAAAGGTTAAGGAAAGTAGTTTATTATGGGGTTCATTATAAAATAGTGTCTGAGAGAAATTAAAAACATTCATGTTCTTTACACTCTTTCAAAAATTAAAAAAAAAAAAGTCCAGATCAACCAAAACACTAGCGCTAATCTCATATTAGCAGATTAGTAATCTGCTATGCAGATCTGTATAAGTGGGCTCAGACAACACTGTGTTAACATTAACACACGACGGATACCGACAAGTAGACAAACATTGTGATATTTTTGTAGCTTACAAACAGAATGAGTGGCAAAGGTTAGAAACCGTGTACAAAATGAGAAATTAAAGACTTGAGTCACGCTTTTTACATTCAATAAACTGTCAGCTCAACCAAGCTCTGTTTTCTGAGAAATCATAAACATGAATTTTATGGTGAACTTTATTTCCTTCCGCTAAAAATATAATTGTTAGAGGGTCTAGAAATGATATGGGGAAAAATCTTTTTCTTACCTGGATGTTTGATCTGTGAGATTTCTGCGTAGCACCGAGTCATTGCTGTTTTTTTTCCCAGCTTTTAGACAATTATAGTTGCTCACATTCGTTCCACCCAGTGAATTAAACCAGTGTTATAAAATATTCAGTGAGGTGAATGAGGATAAACAAAGAGTTTTTATTACAGAAATATGGCAACTGAAAACTGTCAACCATGCATTTATAATGCGTTTTAGTTTATTATATGATGCCCTGTGGAAGAAAAATATACAGATTTTCTTCAAGTTTTCTTTATTTTAAAAAGCTTAAGGATTTTCTCACACATTTTTCAACAACCCATGGAGATTTTCTGCTCATTTACTAATCAGCAGGTCAAAATAATCTCCTTATCAACTTTTGAGGTTGTGTTAAAAGCCTACAATGGACGAATGAAGCATATTATCACACGAAACGGGCAAGGGCATTCTGTACTGCTTAACCAGGGGTGCAACAATACATCAATTTAAATCGATATATCGATTAAATGATTAATGATTCAATTATATCGTGGCAAAACTAAAACATCGATTCATATCGTCATTTTTGAAATACACTTTTATTTTGAAATTCTCAAGGCACATCTGTGTCACCATTTCCGTGCACGACAGACAGAACTCATGTCGTGTGCAACAGGTGCCAGTGCGAGTTAAAATACTCAGGGAAACAACTATATATATCTATTTTTGTTTCTTTATAACTGGAAGGTAATCAGGACACTTAAGTTAACTGGTTTAAAAAATGCACTTAAACATGAGAAATGTGAGACTATACTGAACAGGTCATTTATTTTTATTTTTTCATTAATTAAGAAAAAATGTTTTATTTAAATGTATGGTGCCTGTAATAACAGAAATAAAATGGTTAAATCGTATTTGAATTGTTTTTGTAAATTTATTTATATGTAAACGAGATGGGCATTTGATATCACAATATATCGATCGCAGACTTGTGAATTGAATAGTATCGAAATCGTATCGTGACCGACTTTGTGATATCGAGAAAAATCGTATCGTCATACAAACAAATCAATATAATATCGTATCATGGTAAAGCTGGTGATTTACACCCCTACTTCAAACGGTTCAGTCAGTGATCCCTGTCGGCTGATACTTTGCTAACTTGAAGTTGAAGCACTGGTCCCTGGTATTCTAGTCATGCAACTATTGTAAATGGCATTGTGGTGTCTTTTTAAGTGTTGATAAAGATTTGTGGTGTTACCTGGAGAGGTAACGACAGCAGCAAGGCAGGTTCTGCACAATACATGTCGTTGCGCAGCGTCTTCTTTTTTATAGCCAAAATAATTCCAAACAACGGACGTGCTGCTCCTCTTTGGTACCAAACTTTCAGATGTATCAGCTTCTGTCGAACCTGATGCCATTGTGCAACCGGTTAAAGCGCAGTGTTGCCTTCTCCCACTCCCTGCTCTGATTCCGCTCATTCGCAAGTGACGTAACCAGATCACATGACCAGTCAAATCACAGCCTTTAGCCTTTTTATCATATCGCAATATTATTGTAAACGCAATTAATTGTTCAACCCTAGTTCTCATGTGGGGAAACTTTTCTCAAAGCTCACTAACATGTTTTTACCTCCCACCCTTTTGTTCAGTCATGGTTTTGCCCGACTCTAACAATCTTTTTTCTCTTTTCTTCAGGTTCATGGGAAGTGTGTGTGCAGACACAACACTGCAGGTGACCACTGCGAGCGCTGCGCTCCTCTCTACAACGACCGTCCCTGGCAGCCCGCTGACGGACTGACGGGAGCTCCACACGAATGTCGGCGTGAGTCGGAACAAACGCATGCACACCGAGAGTTTAATAAAAACTGTGTGGTTTGCAGCCATTATTAACAGCTTCGCTTTTCTGACACTTATGACTGCAATTTAACAAGCCTAATAAAAGGCGGCGCAATCAGAAAATACTTAACTCTCATCCAAATCTGTGAGGAAAGAAGTAATTTGGACAAACCCTATGCAGTCAGAGTTTATTTATTTATTGTGTGAGTGTTTATGATGAATTCACACTGTTGTGATCCATTTTCTTCAGTACGATTTTCAGCATCTTTCTCGTTCCACATTTGTGCTATTTCAACAAATCATATATTAAAATGTTCAGCTCGTTCAGGAGAAGGATGCTATGACTTTTGGTATTGGTTCAACTTTGGATTTTTGAAATATTTAGCCTTTTCTGACACTTTTTTCCTCGTAGAAAATGAATTGAGCCCTTTTTACATCCTTCATATCTTTAGCTCTGTTTACATTTTACTGCTCCTTTCACATTTTGTTCTGCTTCAGCTTCTTTCAGCTGTTTTTTTCAGCTGTGTTATGCTCTATGTAGATTATTTCTGCTAATTACAAGATTTTTGTGCTTCTTCTAACTTGTTCCTACTACACTGTATTTATACTAGCTAGTTATATGATGATTTTAGCTTTTTCAGCACATTTTTGCACTCATTTCAACTTTTTTTCAGCCTAATTCAGAAAAAATGTGCTCTCTCTCCACTTCTGGTAATTTAAACTTTTTTTCTGCCTTTTTAGCTACTTTTCAGCAGTTTTTCTGTTGCTAATTTCAGCTTTTTTCAGATAATTTCCAATTTTTGTGCTTATTTTTGCTTCTTTCAGCTTAATTGAGAAAACATGTTTTTTTTTTCTGTTTTCTTCTGCTAATTTAAGCTTGTTCTACATTTCAGCTACCTTGTTAGAATTTTTAGCTAATTTCAGCTGTTTTCAAATAAATTCAGGTTTTTCATGGTAATTTCATCTACTCTCAGCCATCTTTCTGCTAATCTCACTTATGCTCATTTCAGCTTTTTTCCTGCTAGTTTCAGCATTTTCTGCTATTTCAGCTATTATTTAGCCGTTGTATGCTAATGTTGGCTTTTTCAGCTAATTCCACATTTTTTTAGATCATTTTAGCTCTTTTTGCTTCTTTCTGGTTGTTTAAGCTCTTTTCTGCCTTTTCAGCAGGTTTTTTTTGTGGCTAATTACAGCTTTTTTTTAAACTAATTTCCTAATTTTTGTGCTAATTTTTGCTTATTTAACCCTAATTCATCAAATAGTGTTATTTCTGCTTTCTTCTGCTAATTTTAGCCTGTTCTTCCATTTCAGCTACAATTCAGCAAGTTTTTAGCTAATTTAAGCTGTTTTTCTGCAAATTCTTCTGCAATAAGCACTCACACACTGCGTTTTGCAGGAAATGCAATTTCTCTAGTTTATTATTATTTTGTGCGTAAAGTTCATGAACCCTCCCACGTTTAGTTTTAAGATAAATGTAACAAATATCACACGCAGTTCTGTTATAAGTTGACAAAAATCTACTAAAGGGATAACAAAAAAGGTTGAATCATGTCATCTGGACTTCGTTTTTTTGTTAAAAAGAAACGTTTCGCCCCTCATCCAAGAGGCTTCGTCAGTCTGAGGCCTAGCCATCTGGTATTACCCAGAAGCCACCCTGACTCTTGTGTTTCAAGCCTGCCTTAGATACCCCTGAAGTTTGGCCTTTTCACTAATGGTTTCAAAAACACAAAGTTTGTTTTCTCAGTCATCCAGGTATATAACAACAAAAAAGGTTGAATCATGTCATCTGGACTTCGTTTTTTTAACAAAAAAACGAAGTCCAGATGACATGATTCAACCTTTTTTGTTGTTATATACCTGGATGACTGAGAAAACAAACTTTGTGTTTTTGATACTAAAGGGATACTTTTCCAACCACTGAACAAGAAATAAAAGCAACGATTGTCAATAAACTATTTCCTTGAATCACTCTTGAAGCATCGTATACATTCTTTCATTTCCAAAACTAACTGCTGTGCGAAAAATAGACTAAATACCTTGGACACTAAGAGGACTTTGGGGAAAAGCATTGATTGATTGAATAATGAAACCTCCCAGCCTCAGGTTAATTGAAACATGTGAAAATCTAAATAAACTTGTATGCAACCAGTCAAAACACCAGAACTACTGTCTGTCACATACCAGGGTGCAAATGTAACGGACACGCTCGAAGCTGCCATTTTGATTGGACGGCGTGGCGAGAGTCTGGCCAGCGAAGCGGAGGCGTGTGTGACTGTCTGCACAACACCGAAGGGCGCCAGTGTCAGAAATGCAAAGCCGGTTTCTACAGAGACCCCCAGCGATCTCAAACTGCTCCAGACTCCTGTAAACGTAAGAACTGCACCAAGTACAAACAAAACAAAAAAAAGACCTGGAAGCTGACGAGACATGAGCAGCAAAGACGAGAATTAGAGCCTGACTATATTACGGAGGCTAAACCTGACAATAATAATTAAAAACCTTTTGCAAAGTTTGCTACCAAAACAACAGCGTTTAATATTTAACATTCAGGTTAAAGAGAATTAAAGATCATCAAGTTCAAGCAAAGAAACAAAAAAACACAAGACTTGTCTTGGATATGGGTGGATTAAAGGCATCTTTATTTAGCGAGCACTTTCACTGGAATAATTGTGCTTTTATTAACATGTTCAGACATTAAAAGCAACCATTTGGTGTAAAAAAATAAAATAAAAAATCATTTTTGTATCACATAATATACACCATTTATTACTGTTTGTATATAAAAGTTCAAAAACTTAATTTGTCATTATTAGATTTAATTAGTGCACACATTTAAGGATCATGACACCTTGAAATTAAAAACCAAGTTGTGTAAAACACCTTTGAGTAGTTGTCAGTATGATTAATTATTCCCTCGTTGACACAATGTTGCTGATGTAAATCAAAACATTATCATCACACACACACACACACACACACACACACACACACACACACACACACACACACACACACACACACACACACACACACACACACACACACACACACACACACCACATTGGCACAGAGCTCTCGTTTTTCTCAAGGAATGCTGCCGATGGAGATCACAAGCCAGGACGTGCCGCCTAACACTCACTCCTGATGGATGCCTGGCTCTGATACTGTGTGTGTGTGTGTGTTTGTTTCAGGTTACCTTGTAGGGACCAATTTTACAAAAAAAATACATGCATTGTGGGAACCAACTGCTCTTTATGGGACCAAAGCTACATTTGTAGATCCCCATAAGGCGAAGTCTCGTTGTGGGGTTAGGGCTTAGGTTTAGGTCTAAGGTGTGAAATGCGGATGGGTTAGGTTTAGGCTATAGAAAATGAATGGAAGTCCCCAAAAAGTACATTTACAAGAATATGTGTGTGTGAGTGAGGCAGCACGTGCCCACGCTCTATCCATTTTTTACATCGTAGTCAATCATCAGATGGCGGCGTTCCTCCATCTTGGCTCAGCACTCAACATGAAGCTCCTGCTTGCATCTCGACCTGTTTTGCTGTCTCTCCGAGGTCACGATGCTTTGGGATAAATATTGTCGAAATGTGAGAACGTCCAAGGGTCCTCACTTCAGCAGTGAGTTTGTGATAGTCATCCACAAATACAGCGGTGGCTACATTCTCGTTCTGATTATCTGCCTGATTTGAGCCAGCGAGCTCATTCCTGTAGCCATGTTTATGTTCACGTATTGTATGCGCTGTACATCTCACTGACTGCAAACACAATCTAACCGCACCAGACCGTCAGAAAATACAGAGGGCCAGGGTACGATAGCACTCAGAGTTGGGATGATGGATAATTTTATGTATGCAGGTTTTTACAGATGATTTACAAGTTTTATTTTTGTTCCAGACTCTTAAATCTTCCCCCAGATAAAGAACCTAGAGAAATATGATACACTGTTTAATTTGTGTACCATCTTTAGCACAAAAAAGTGCCTCAGACCCACCATATTTTCAACTATTGTGATGAGTGGACGTTAAACACACAGACGTGGGCATTGGAGACGCTATATATCAAGATCAAGGTTTCTTTATTGTCATTCGCATCTCATGTGGTACATGTGGTGGAAGGAAATTGTGCACAGGGTCCAAGAAATAAATACAAAGTACATCTTTATGTAAATCTGAGAGGAAAAAGATATGTCTAGACCAGCAGTATGAGGAAACAAACTGACCTGTTCTTGTTTTTTTGCCCCAGATCTTAAAGCAAAAGACACAGAACTTTAACCCACAATCTATTTCCTGTTTCATAGAAATATATAACTAGGCCTGTCACGATAACAAATTTTGCTGGGCAATTAATTGTCTCAGAAATTATTGCGATAAACGATAATGTTGTTTGAAATTTGACAATTATTAATAATTATTGTCCAATTTAAGTAGAAATGTTGGTTAAATTTATTTTGAATGTAGTACCTTTTTTGACAACCAGATGGCAGTATAAGACTGTTTGAACTGAAGGATGGATAGTGAGGGAGTGAGCAGCATGTCTCTTGAACAGAAATGGGAGGGAGACCCCTTGGTGACATGGGCTGTCTCTCTTTAGTTCTCAAAATGGCGGATTCTCGATGTGGTTCGAGCTCTTTAGCATAGCATTTTTCCACACAAAGCTTTTAATAATTGTTTTAAAAATCAGTAAACAAGTTCTCATCTTCTTTTTGCAGAGAAAAACAACTTTTTACATGAAGGCACAGGTTTCATCCGTGAATTTTGGAGCTTCGACAAGACGGAGGTTTTTTTTTTCCCAAGTTTGGCCTGTTAGCTTAGCTCGTAGCTTAGCTTCTCAGCTTAGCTGCTTTTAAAGATCCAAAAATGCAATTTTGGATGGTTAAAACCGATTTTAAAGAGAAAAGAGAAAGGGAGGTGTCAGTGAAGAGCACCGGATTTGATCCTTTGTCATCCAGTGTCCAGTAGAGAGAGACACGAAGAAACGATAAAGCCGATAAATGAAAATGAGGTTGGTAATTTTCATTTATCATGCGATTAAATGATTTATTGTTTATCGCGACAGGCTTAGATAACTGCTCTTTAGATAACAAAATGTGCTGGAGGTATAAGAAAAAAGTTGTAGTTTTAAATAAATGAAATTAAAACAAATACATAACTCAGAACCAACAAGGTTGAGTCAGGTCCTCTGGACGGATTCTTCTTTGTTGAAAAGTTTTGTCTTTTAAGCGAAAGACTTCTTCAGTCTTTTTCGTCTTTTGGAAAAATAAAAAGACGAAACATTCAAACAAAGAAGAACCCGTCCAGAGGACCTGACTCAACCTTGTTAGATTTATCCAGTGGTGTAGTCTATGTGATATGCGGGTATACGGAGTATACCCATTATAAAAGCTTGGGAATTACAGTATACCCACTTAAAAGTACCCAATGATACTGTATGTGACATATTATTGGGCATGTGTCATTGTCAACACATTTGGAATCATTTTTATAGATTTCAACCTGTTTTTTTTTGTGTATAATTAATACTTCTGTACTTACTACTTAATACTTGAACATTTTTTGATACTGTTTTATAAATTCTATAACATGTTTTTAATACAAAGCCAACTGTTGTGCAAAGTTTGTTGTGCATTTATTCAAATATAAGCATCAGATAAATTTTGAAATGTCCAATATGCTTAAAAATCAAAATAAATTGATGATTACATTGTACTAACTGGTGTACTTGGGTTTCTAAGCACAGTATACCCAATACAAAAATGTAGACTACACCACTGGATTTATCTACCTGGATTATTGAGCAGCATCAGGACATGACTCAAAACCAGTTTTTCCCTAAAAAAAAGATTTCTAAGAATAACTATTTCTTGCTTTAACATTTGCGTTCGAGGCTCGTCAGATTTGTCGCTAAACTCCATCTTTAGCTGTTAGACTGCAATCACAAACACTTATTACAGCTCTGGATGTCCTTCCTGGCGCAACCTGGGCTTGAACCCACAACCTCACGCTTACAAGAAAAGCCTGTTCCAGTAGAAGTCTATAGATGAAAAACTTACTAAAAGTAAAATGTTGAGAAATGACACTTATAACTGTTTTCATCAAATGCTAAAAAAAAAACCTGCATGGACGACCTCACCAGATCGTAGTGCTTGAAGTATACGCTAGGACTGACTGTCAGCGACTACCACAAGTATTCTCTCATCATCTGTCAATTTGACAGGGTTAAAGCCATTTTTGTGTTGGTTGATTAGCTGTAGCAGCCATCTTGAATCAGGTTGACTCTAAACATGGATCAGTTGGAGATCTACTTTCTGAATGCTTCATTTCAATCCATCCAGTTCTTTCAGGATATTTTTGGCCTAAGCCAACAATACAAAAAAACAACTGAACTTGTACTAGAGCTTATCAACCGTCTTTATGCACCAATCCAAACTAACACTGTGGCTAAAGTCTTCTCTCTTTTCACGGCTCTATCTTATTATTAGTTTGAACTATTTGCGTTCAGTAACAAGTGGCAGGTGATGAACTGTGTTTGAACTTGCAGCCCCTCCGCCCCCCAACACACACACTCTTGGTATTTCCTTCTGATATCTGTTCATCTCTGACAAGGTCACAAAAACAGATGCACCATCTTCTTCGCTGCAGCTGTAGCGACGCAGGGTTTGAGTTTCAGCCATCAGGCTGTGAGGTCTCACCTCGCTGACGGCTGATTGATGGAGGAAAAAAAGGAGCGACGGCGTGCACGGAGTACCCCCCGAGACAAAGGTGCAGGTTGTGAAATCAGACTGTAGCCTCTCGCTGACAAAGAGGAATTTCTCCCTGTTGTAAGGAACATTTTCTTCATACCAGCGTCTGAGGGGCCCTGAAAATAAGAAAACGTTTTTATGAAGCTTCATGTATGCACACCCAAACAGATTAACAGGTTACAGTGTGTGTTTAGGTGTGGGTGGGGATTATCGCCTGCACTGCTCGTTCACGCCTCTGCTCATAAGGTTTTCGTCGTATAAGAGCGCGTAGGCGACAGCTTTTCTAAGAAGACTTATTTACCCTTAAGTCATAAAGCGATTCTTTCACACGCTCCTAAATTCTCAGGGACATGAGTAAACTCACGATCGCATCGCCAAGCTCGCGCGTTCTAGTTGTGCAGGGAGCTGAGGCGTCGCTGTAATCTCTGTCAGTTATTAACAGGCTGCTCGCCGAACAACAGACATCGCCTTGTGTTCATAATAAGTGCACCTGCCATATCTTTATGACTTTATGAATACTGTACAACTTGGTCTTATGATAAGATTTATCTTATCGCCACAGTCCTGGATGGTCCATCTGATAAACCGTCTGGTTTAATTTTCAGGAAGGAACAAAAACATGATCAACTGTATAAAAAAATACAGAATATATGATTAGCTTTGGCATTAATAAGCAGATAAATTTATTACTTGCCGCTAAATGACAGAAAATTGCTTTTGCCCGTCTTTATCCATCTGTTAGCAGAATATCTTAACCGCTGGAGTGGATTTTAATGAAACTTTCAGGAAGTGATATTGGGTTTAGTTTAGAATTGATTAACTTTTGGCGTTAAATAAAATCAAAATGCTGCCACGCTCGAACTCAGTCTCCATTTAAGCAAATTGAGCTAGAATTTGGTGGCAGCTAAACAAATCCTCAACATATCACAGATCATAATAATATTTTTAAGCTGTTTGACCAAAATGATTACAACTGATTATTTTAATTTGACTTAGTGCATTTGTTATGATGCGTAACCAGTGGTGTAGTCTATGCGATACGCGTGTATACGGAGTATATCCACTTAAAAGTACCCAACGATACATGACATATCATTAGACACGTGCCATTGATACGCTAAAAGGCAGTTAAACGCTTCCGTAACAATCTATCTGTATGCAGCGCTTGTTTATTACATTCGCTTAGCCAGCGAATTATTGTATAATTCTGTACTTGTACTACTTAATACTCGAACATGTTTTGCATTGATACTGTTTTATAAATTATATAACATGTTTTTAATACAAAGCCAACTATTGTACAAAGTTTGTTGTGCATTTGTTCAAATGTAAGCGTCAGAGAAATTTGAAAATGTTCAATATGCTTTAAAATCAAAATAAATTGACGATTACATTTTACTAACCGTTGTACTTTGGTTTCTAAGCACAGTATACCCACGACTACACCACTGTGCATAACCATAACAACAAGGTGGTTTTCTACAACTGGGAGCACTCAAAAGTTCAAATAATACCTCAACTACAGCCACAAATCCCAAATGAGTTGAAAATGAGGTGCCGTGGATGCATTCCTGTCTACCCTGGAGGTGGTGCTCGAGTGCCTTACCGCTGAGATCTTGAAGGTGGCAGGAAACATGGCTGGTGACAGCAGGAAGACCGAGATTGTACCCCGGCACCTGCAGTTAAGTCTATGGTGACGAGGGGCTTGGCAGGCTGCTGGGAGAAATGGCCATCGCTCAGGGAGTTCTGCCCGACATGCCCAAGAGGACCGAGAGGTCTGCTGGGTCTGGGTGGACGGATCGGCACCTGCAGCCAGTTTCTGTGACCAGAAATGTATTTATTATTATAATTTATTCATTTATTGGTAAGTGTCTTGCGCTTTCTAATAAATTAATTTAGAAAAAGATCAATTAGACAATTTAAAGTCCTAAATATATTCGGCAAAATGAAATTTCCAACCCACGCTCAAAGAATAACCAGCGTCAAAGAAATGAACAGAAGTGCAAAGTTAGATGTTTACTCATCATGTAAAAAGGTTCTTCATCACGACCACACCTCGTTGGATTTGGTTGTACCTCTCTGAATCTGTTTTGTTTGCTGTTTCTGTGTTTGCTCAGCCAAAAAAAATAATAAATTGTCAAAGTATTTCGGTTCGCCATAAACTTGGCCTCCGTTGTGTTTGAATGATTTATTTAAAGTTTTGTTCTTCTGTTGCTGATTTTATTGCACTCGTCGTTTGAATGGAGTTCGGAGGTAAGATTGTGAGTGTGAATGTTTGTGGATGTGTTGGCGTCGCATTAGAAAACCAATAAATCAAGCAACGCTGTGGATTTACGCTTGTAAGTCACTCTTATCTCTCTTGTCGATCCCACCCGTTTGTCAAAACAGTCGCTGTAATTACTGCTCACACCACTTTCTGTACTCAAAATATTTTTCTGTGCCAATAAAAAGCATGACATCTTTTTTTTTTGTTTTTTTTTTTACAGCCTACAGATTTTTAAATTTAACATCAAGTCATAAAGGTGAAGCTTTATTGATGCAAAGGAGAGGTCTCTTGGTTAACAGTAAAATGCCATTTTAAGCGTCATTAAACAGAGAAGTTGCTTCTCCTTTAATTCTCCTCCTCCTCCCCCTGTTTGCCCTCCAGATACAGATTTATGCAGGAGGCCTGACGTCTCCTACAAGAATTTGAAGTCCCAGCAGACATTTTTCTCAAACCGCCTGTGAAAACCTGGGTGGATGTTGCAATGTTGATGTGAAAATATTGTTTTTGGAAGTTGTTTAAAGAACACCTAATCAGCATTAATTATGTGACACAAGGGAGAAGGGGGGGCTTGTACGTCTGTCTTTGTTAGGACTGGTTTGAGTTTTCGTCCTCATGTTGGGACAGATCTTCAGAAGGCTGTTTTCAGCCTGAAGTCCGCGCTCTTGCTGTGTTTGGCGCAGAGATTCAGCCGTGATAATTCATATTATGTCATAAAAAAAGAACTACAAACGTTTGCGTGATAAGGAGAAGACGGAGGCCTTTGTCTGCAACAATGCCAGACACATCTGAGCAACTGATAAATGATAAAACTGATTTATAATTATTTACCTAAAACACCTTTAGCCTTAGTGCTCGTTGCTCTGAATTTGTTGCCATTTTCTGTTTTTCTTTGCAACGTTTAAACAATAATTTACATCTGGAATCATGTTCCCCAGATACTCGATTACTTTAATTATTTTTTTCTTGTCCGAATCGGTCTTTAAATCAAATTAAATAAACTTTTGTTTGTTTCACAGCATGCACCTGTGACCCCTCGGGCTCTGTGCCTTTTCATTTAGCTGGTGATGCTCCGTGTGACCCCTCCAATGGAAACTGCATCTGCAAACCTGGAGTAGGCGGAGCTCGGTGCGACAGGTGCATGGTGGGATACTGGGGCTTCCACGAGTATGGCTGTCGCCCGTGTGACTGTGCTGGAGACTGCGATCCGTTTACTGGGGACTGCGCGTTTGGGTGAGTAAAATTACATTTTTAAATTCTGCCTATTTAAAATACCTGATCAAAACACCTGATCTGGTTTTATATTCAGTCCTCATTTAGTTTTAAAACTGATTAAAGAAAGAAAAATGTTCAAACTTACATGTTGCAAGAACAAAAAAATACTGTAAAATCAACATGTGAGCTAAAAATACTGGCTATGCTTCGCAGTAGAGTTGGATTAATGTCATGTCAGCAAAAAATGTAATTAACATACACAAGAAACAAGAAATTTAAAAAAAATTATGTGTCAACTAGAGGAATTGCATTTCCTGCAAAAATTCAGTGTGAATGCTTATTGCAGAAGAACTTGCTGAAAAACAGCTGAAATTGGCTTAAAAAAAATAACATAGGCTACTAAAATATAGTTGAAATGGAAAAACAAGCCTAAATTAGCATTAGAAAGCAGAAAGAACACATATTTGCTGATTTAGGTTTAAATGAGAAGAAACGAGCACAAAAATTAGGAAAATAGCTAAAAAAAATGCTGAAATCAGAAAAAAATATTGCTGAAAAATAGCTGAAAGAGCAAAAAGAAGCTTAAACTACCAGAGGGAAGTGGAAAGAACTGTTAACCCTTCACAAAGCTGCAGCAGGAGAAATGTGTGTGCGTGGCAGAGAAGGAGATCAGCTGATCAGCTGCAGGAGGGAGCTTTTCCTTCCACTTGTGGGCTTCACACAAAATCATTTAAAATAATTTACTTTAAATAAACAACCCATGGCTCATCCATCATTCAGCCAATTGTGTCATGTCCAATCTTACTTTGAAAATCCGCGATAAACGAACCGCGAAGTAGTGAGGGACTACTGTAAACTATTTTCATCCTCGAGCCTGAAGTGTCTGCGTGTGTCAATGAAATGCATAAATCACAGCGCCAGCTCATGACCTGGCATGGAAACCACAGAGGATTCGACGAGCACGACATTACTCATGAAAAACGTACCTTTTTTTTAGAACTAACATCAGAAAAATAACATTTCCAGAGACTGTTCTCGTGTAAACAGGACCTTCTTGTAGATTTATGTTGGTGAATGGTCCTCCAATCAATACCCCACCTGCTTTACATGAACATGCCCAGATCCAGAGAGAACTCCTGGAAGGCTAACCAACTTCAATCCAAAGTGCAACATTCACTGTTGGGATTAGTTGAGACAAATCATTGAGTTTTACATGAGTCATGTGACGTTACAGCTCTGATCTGGAGCTGTACAACCTGGAGGGAAACTCCAGCGAACCGGTGAGGATCTTCAGAGCTGAGGAACTGTTTTCTGCTGTTCATTACTCAGGTGAGATACACAACGATTTGTCATCCACCCCACCACCACCACCACCACCACCACGACCCATTAAGTAACAGAAGTCTTATTTGGCTCTCAGAGTGTGAAAAGTGTTCCCAGCCACATTCCTCTTTGAACACGTATACTGTCAAACACGCCACAAGTTATTTGAATTTGTTCCACATCGTTGCTTGTTTCTGTTCCCTGCAGAGAAGTGTGAGTGCAAAGAGCAAACCCTGAGCAGTAAACTCTTCTGCACCATGAGTTATGCATACGGTAAGAACTCGAGCATCATCCGTCCCCCCCCCCCACAGCCTGAGAATCATCCGAGAAATGCACTTTTCTGTTTATTAACTCGGCTTAATGTAGTCAAGATTAGACTTCCTGATCACGAGGCCTTGTTGCTTCAATTGTAAAAGCTAGGCTATAAAGACACAGCAGATCGGAATAATTCTTAAAGATGTTTTGGTTTTCTTTGCTGCCGTGGACGCTAGTTTTTACGACGGCACTTTAGGGTCACGCTAAGAAAAAACAAATTAAAAGCAATAATATTACGAGAATAAGGTCGTACGAGACTTCTTTTTTTTTTTTTTTTTTGCAGCTCACGTTTATTTATTTATTTATTTAATTTCCCACGAGTCGGCTCCGTGAAGCGACCTGTCAATCAATCCAGTAGGCGTGTCTACAGTGACCAATCCGAAGCTAAATGCTCCTTACCTGCAGAGAGCTGCTGCAGCCCATCAGAGCGTTCAAAGTCCTGATACTGACAATCTGATGCTGATGTGCTAACAGATTAACTATCTCCTTATTTGTAAAACCAATACCAAAGTATAACTTAAGATGCTCACCATTCTTCATGTTACCACAGTGAAAATGTGGTAAACCCTGCTTTATGTGTCGGAGTTCGAATAACATTACGACTCATTTAGCTTCTGATTGGTCATTTGCTGACACGCCCACTGGATTGAATGACAGGTCGCGTCGTGGCTATGACTCGTGAAAAAAATAGATGAATAAATAAACGAGAGCTATGAAAAGAAAAAGTCTCGTATGACTTTATTCTCGCAAATTTATGGCTTTTAATTATTTTTTTCTTAGCGTGGCCCTAAAGCTCCATCGTAAGTTTTGTGTCTTCTCCCTGTAAATTTCTAACTCTCAGCCACTGTGAGCGTTAGCCGTGTGTGATGCTCCATACATCACCACCTTCTGATGACATCGCACAGCTTGGTTTCCTCATATGATAGAAATTAGTCTGATTTGTTTTTGTTTTTAAAGCAACGTCAGTGTTTTTGCCTATGTCGGTTGTGTTAGCAAAATATCTTATGAACTTCAACGTAATCACAGTGGGCAACGTGTATGCAGTTAAGAAGTTTTATAGCGGTAGTTGTTGAGGTATTTCCATCAAAACCTCATGTCTTTGCCTCAGGTCTAAAATGAGAGATTTTAGACAATTATAATGATTAGGACTTTTTTTTTTTTAAATGGAGCATTCAGATCTTTTTTTTTTTTTAAATAAATTACAACCCCATCTACACCTGAACAAAGTGAATCTCATCTAAATTTAATTTGAATGTATACAATATCATAAATCAGTTGAATGCTATTTTGCCGTTTGTCCAAATGCAAAACACAGATATTTATTCTCACATTCATTTTTTTCATGTAGGCCTTGTAGGTCCAAAATCCAATTAAGTTACATTTTATTGCAAACATCAGCCATCCCTCTTGTAGGAAAAACAGTAATGTAGCTCACTTTTATGATTAACAATCTGCTGGCTACCCTAATGTTACTAACTACATTTTTATGTATGTGAATGTTCCTGTTCAGTGCCCTGAGATGACTTCTGTCGGCGCTTTATAAACTGAACTGAACTGAATTACGAGTGTGTTAACTTGTGGCTGAAGTGGTTCTTGTTTTCCTTTCTGTCCTGTAGTGATGAAGGTGAAAGTGCTGTCGGCCCACGATAAAGGCTCCCACGCTGAGGTGGAGGTCAAAGTTCAAAAGGTGCTCAGCCAGAACACCAAAGTGAAGATACAGCGCAATCGGGTCACGCTTTACCCCGAGTCCTGGACGGCACGGGGCTGCACCTGCCCCATCCTTAACCCAGGTCACACACACAAATACACACAAAAGGGTTTCTAAAGACTGAAGCTACAAGTTGAGCAAAGAAATGAGATTTTATATAAAAACCACAAGTTTCCAGGCCAGGATGAGCAAAGACGAGTTTTTATTAGTATAATTTAACACCAGTTTTACAGCTAACTGATTGATAACTCTAAAGTGTCCCTAGGTGTGAGTGAGAGAGTGAATGGTTGTTTGTATCTGTGTCCCTGTGATGGACTTGCGACCCGTCCAGGGTGTCCCCCGCCTCTCGCACAGTGATTGCTGGACATGGGCACCAGTGACCCTCGCAACCCAAAAAGGAAAAAGCGGATAAAGATAATGGATGGATGGTTAATAAAACATTTAAAATGTTGGTTATTGACCGTTGGATGCAGAGCATAGCACAGCAGAGAGGGAGGTGCTTTTATTTGTAAACTGTTTGAATTTCTAACTTTCACGCCAAGTTTATTCAAGGGTAAAACAAGTTAGATTTGAACAACTAAACCCTCAGGGAAACAAAAAGAAATGTATTTTCATACCCAAAGTTTAACATGCTATGAAGCTCATATGAAACCAGTAGGGATGCACGATATTATCGGCATGGTATTGGTATTGATATTAGCAATAAAGTTAAATCGGCCATTCCATGAAAATAACTCGCCGATATAAAAAATGCTGGTTTTTGTATGACAACCCAGAGACAAGGATGCCTGCAGCGTCAGCACAACTTTATGGCATCACATGCACCTACCTGATCTGATCACAGCGGGAGAGGAAGGAGTGAAAATGTCGGCGGTGCGGGAGTTTTTTTTAAATGTCAGAAACCGATAGCAGAACTGCTACTTGCAATGACTGCTCCGCGTCAGTGATGCGAGGAGGAGCGAAAACAAAGCCCCACAACACTTAAAACCTAATTAACCATCTCACGAATTACCATTCTGACCATTACGATGAGTTCATGGTGGCCAGAAAGGAAAGCGAGAGAGCGGTCAACCGTGGAGAAACAAAACCTCACCAGCAGTCCATCCATCCAAAGACCATGCAGAATAATGTAGTATTTTAATTCCACAGCAGAGAAAGCTCTGTAGTCTCTGTAAGTACAATACAATACAACTTTATTTATAAAGCACTTTAAAACAACACCGTTGGCCAAAGTGCTTAGTAGGTCTAGGGGAAAAATATCGGTATCGGATATCGGCCAAAAATCCAAAAATTATGCATCCCTAGAAAACAAACTTATTATTGACTTTATCAACAATAAATGTTTGTTGTATGGAGACATGATGTAAGTTTGACCATACAAATACTAGATTTGTGACACATCCACTACTTTTGCACTAATTCTTTTAGAAGTTGTTTATTTCCTCAAAGGTTTTAGAAATCTAACCTGCAACCTGCCTGGTTTTTTAGCCATTTCTGTCATGTAAACTACAGAACAACCCTTTAATACAATTTTAAAAAACGTATCATTATGGTGCTCCAGAGTCTGAAAGGGTTTTTTTTTTTTTAGTTCTGTGCAATAATTGCAAATTCTTTTATTTCTTCGAAAATTTGAAAAGTGATTTGTTTTTGTAATTTAATTTGAATCACTGTTTTCATTTCACAGGCGAAGAGTACTTGGTGGCAGGCCACTCGGACCATAAGCGGGGGCGCCTCCTGGTCAACATGAAGAGCTTTGTCAAGCCCTGGAAAGCCAGTTTGGGTCGAAAAGTCCTCACACTGCTCAAAAAAGACTGCAACTGGTAGACGGACAGAAGAACTGCAGGAGCAGGTGACGGATGAGACCGCTTCTGATTCAACAAAGCCAGCACTTTGTGTCTCTCATCCCTGAGGTACACCGCCCACTGGTGGGAGCAGGTTTGGGAGGACTGAGCTGAGCTGATCAGACCCCTCCAAGTTTCTGCTGTTCCCAGTGAAGCCAGCGTTGGACGGCACAAGCCCACGGGACATCTTTTATGAAGACATTCCTGCCTTAAATCTGAGCAAACTTTCACTCTACATGCTTATGTAGGAGCTTGAAGCTCAAATAATGAGGATTTCATCGGCATGTCCAATCGTGAGTGTGTGAACGCACCGTGAATTAAAACACAAACAAACAAACAAAAAAATCCTCCTCCTCCTCAGCACTTTAGTCTAAGACGGCCTGAGAAAGCACGGACACGCAAAGAAAGGAGGATTAAAACACACACTTGGACACGACCCCCTGAAGTGGATCGATGTAGCAGGTCTGTTCTCTTTACAACGGACGCGCACGTTCTCTAACAGGCAGGAGTGGAACGTGCAAACCCCCCCCCCCCCCCCCCAGAGACGTGGAACAAGCCATACGAGCCTCTACAGGCGCTTCAGTCTTAGTCCAGGTGTGCCTGTGTTGAAATCAGAGCAAACGGGTTTCCAAGCAGACCTGACTGTGTGTGTGTGTGTGTGTGTGTGTGTGTGTGTGTGTGTGTGTGTGTGTGTGTGCGTGCGTGCGTGCGTGCGTGCGTGCGTGCGCGTGCGTGCGTGCGTGCGTGCGTGCGTGATTGAAAGCAGCATTATAATTAAAGCACAATTCAGATTCAGTCCAGTTTTTTAGCTTCTCTGTAGGTTTGAAACCATCCAACGTTCATGACACAACATAATGTGATTCAGCTCACGTTCTCGTCCACTTCACAATATTATTATTATTATTATTATTTTTATTATTATTATTCCTTTGTGCTCGTGTACAGTGCCCTTTGTATATGTCTATATAAATATTATTGCTCATCGCTTTGTTTTTGTTCAAGGTCATATTAAAAAGATAAATCCAGTGTGGACTCGCCAGTTTTTAAATACGTTATAGCTGATTATATTAAATAATTTGACAACACCAGATTAGAAATGATGGGGCAGAAAACAAAAGGTGCATCTTTCCTTGAAGAGATAAAGCATGTCAAGTTGTGCAAGATCTTTTTTTTTTTTTTTTTTTTTAATAAATGTTTTGGCGCTTAAAGTATGTGTTGTGGATGACTCTCGGCTACAGCCACGCCAAATTTTAGAGATATTTTGCTAACAGACACAAACAAAAATATGTAGATGCAGCAGTTATAATATTCCTCTGCTTTTCATGATGGAAAGCAAAATAAAAAATATTCCTAAATTTGACTCATTTTTGTGCACATAATGTGAACCAACAATGTTTCAAGTTTTTAACATGAGATTAATTTTAATTAATATACAACAAAACATACTTCATACAAACCATTGAATAGTTACAATTTAAGTTTACAAGAGAATATATTTGTTTTCTACACAATTTTAAACAAGATATTGCAATAATTGAGTCAAGAAAAAAGCTGAAATGTAAAAAAAAAATAAAAAAATCTTCAAGTAAACATTGGAGAAGTGCAAATTTTACACCCTACAGAATATAATTCCATTAAATGACAGAAGGATTATGGAGGAATTTTAATGCAGAAAGGGTGTAGCTTTAATCCCAACCCCTTATTTATACAACACTTCTTTAAGAACCAGCAGATAGGACCACGTTTGCAAACGGTACAAAACCTTTGTTACAGTAAAGAGATACTTATAATCACTGCACAAAAATAAAAGAAAATTTAAACTTGTCCTAAACCGACTTGTAACTAAACCCTCATACAAAGGACAATAGGATAAGTCTACTGGTTTTACTGTTTGTCTTTATTCTTTTTAAGCAACGTTCCTACGTTATATATCAGAAATGAACTTCTGAGCTACAAAAACCTAAAGAAACTAAGTTGCATGTTATTAAAATTTAATTTAATTTGTAACTAGAGGAATTGCATTTCCTGCGAAAACACATTGTGAATGCTTAATGCTAATGAACTTGCTGAAAAACAGCTGAAATTAGCTAAAAGCATGCTGAAATGGACTGGAATAAAGCATATATAAATAAATAAATAGGAATAAAACAGAAAGAACACAAGTTTGCTGAATTTGGTTTAAATAAGCAGAAATGAGCACAAAAATGAGGAAATTAGCAACAAAAAAAAGGCTGAAATTAGCAAAAAGAAATGCTGAAAAGGCAGAAAGAAGCTTTAACTACCAGAAAGAAGTGGAAAGGGCTGAAATGAACACGTAAAATGTGGAATTAGCCAAGAAGCTAAGATTTGCATCAAAAGAGCTAAATATCTGAAAGAGCAGAAAAAGCTGAAAGCAGCATAAGAAGCTAAAATTAGCAGAAAGAAGTCAGAAGCAGCACAAAAATGTTGTAGTTAGCAGAATAAAGCAGAAAGGAGTACAAAACAGCTGAAATTAGCTGATAGTAGCTGAAAAAAAAGTTTAAATTTGCACAAAGCAGCTGAAGCAGAACAAAATGTGAAAGGAGCAGTAAAAGGTTGTAAACACATCAAAAGATGTGAAGGAGGTAAAATGAGCTCAATTCATTTAATGAGGAAACAAATGGCAGAAAAGGCTAAACATTTCAAAAAGCTAAAGTTGTGCCAATACCAAAAGTCATAGCAGGATTGATCTGAAAGAGCTGAACGTTTTGATGGATGAATTGTTGAAATAGCTTCAAAACTGTGGAACAAGAGAGATGCCCAAAAAAATGTACGGAAGAAAAATGGAACAGTGTGAATGCTTCATAAACAGTCACGCAGTGAGCACCCAGACACAACAGCTGATACAACTGCCTTCAAATGCTTCACATAAATTGGACAGAAATATCCTCGTCGTGCTCCTCTGTGGGTGTGTGCCCCCTCAGATTAGCTCATCCATCACTCTCCCTCCTGTTACTCTCCTGTACGTTCACACAACATCACAAAATGTAGACCATAACAGAGAGGCCTAAGGCGAACACACGCTGTTTGGGTTGAGACCAAGTGCACGTTTCTCACTCGAGACGTGACGCAGTCGGCCGAGAGGTGTGGACACATTCCTGGCGCGTCGAGCAGCGTTCTGCCGCAGGCCGGGTCGAAGGTTATTCACCTGTCTGCCTGCCTCGTCTCACAGACGAGAGGTGAGCAGAAGTGGAGGAGTTCACGCAGCTGAGGCCGGATAGCCTCTCAAACCCCACTTCCTAACTCCCGACCCGTTCGCAGATTTGTGGGCAGAGCGGTCACGACTCCTGGGCTTCTGCTGAGCTGCTTCCAGACAGCAGGGTAAAGGGTGAACCAGTTCATACAAGGGGATGAATGTGAGTAGAGCCCGAGAGGAACAGTTATGTTACTCTAATATTACACCACATTTATTTGATGGCTGAAAGAAGCAAATATTTCACTTTTACAAATCCCTTTTTGAGCATTTACGAAGGTTTTGGGGCCAAGATACTGAAAAAAATAAATTTTAGACAAATACATATTGCTTTCATTGGTGTAATTTGCAATAAAAAGTCATGTTTCCTTATTTAAAATGTAAGTTTTTACAGCTGCAGATAATGCGTGTCCTTAAGCTTTGGTTGGTTTTGAACTGATAAAGACCATCGTCTAGTGGAGTTCAGTCGCAGCTGACCATACATTCATTCAACCTTTATTTATACAGGTTAGTCTCATTGAGCCTCCGGGACTCATTTACAAGAGAGACCTGATTTTAACAAAGAGTGATGACAACAGTGCACGGTCATAAAAGAAAGCATATAATAACAAAAAAAAATAAGTGGAGGAAATTTATGTTAAAAAAATGAAAGTTTTTTTTTTTTTTTTTTTTTGTCTGTTCTCCTTAAAATTTGGTTTCAGGTTTGCAAAAACCAATTTATTATAACCACCATGTGACGTAAACTTTTGATGCACCTAAATGTATCCTCTCTCCATCAGTTAAGTTTTTAGTTAACTGGTGGAAGATGGATACATTTAGGTGCATCAAAATTTTGACCGCTATCTCACTTTCCTTTCTGGCCACCATGAAGTCATCGTATTGGTCGTATGATGGTTGTTGAGATGGTTAATTAAGTTTGAAGTGTTGTAGGACTTTGTTTAGAATCCTCCTCACATCACTGACGCTGAGCAGTCATTGCAAATAGCAGGTCTGCTGTCGCTTTCCGACACTTTTAAAAACTTCCACACCGCCGACATTTTCACTCCTTCCTCTCCCGCTGTCAGATCAGGTGGTGGGTGACGTCATCACATTGTGCTGATGCTGCAGGCATCTTTGTCACAGGGTTGTCATACAAAAACAGTGCCTTTTATATCAGTGAGTCATTTTGATGGAATGACCGATGTCTGATATTTAACTTTATTGCTAATATCGGCCGATACCAATAATATTGTGCATCCCTAGTATATATATATATATACACATATATACATATATATATAAAAACAGCACCTTTTATATCGGTGAGTTATTTTGATGGAATGTCCAGTGGTCGATATTTAACTTTAACGCTAATACCAGCCGATATCGATACCATGTCGATAATATTGTGCATCTCAAATTTATATATATATATATATATGTATGTATACAGCACCTTTTATATCGTTGAGTTATTTTGATGGATTGTTCAATATTTAACTTTAACGCTAATATCAGCCGATACCGATACCATGCCGATAATATCATGCATCCCTACTAAAAACTATACCAGACGTTCATCATCTAATATATTTTTTTCTTTATTCCTGCTTTGTTTGATTATTTGAAGGAAACAAAACAATTTGTTTACAATCATTCACCACAAAAAAACTCAGCATGTCCAGTGATTTACAGTATATTTGATGCTAAAGCAGCCGTTATGGAGGTTTTTTTTCATAATTGATGAATAACTTAAATCTGTCCACCTGCTGGTTTACAAGATGCCACGTGATCCAAACTGCTTGATGTGGTGTAAAAACTAATATTTCAGGGGTGGGGAGATGAATTCTTAGGAAGAAAAAAATATCTCTTTGCATTTCATGCCCCTATTAATCATTATTGCTACTTATTAAGCCAAGGAATTGCCAGATTAAATTACCAAAACGTTAATCAATTATTAGAAGATGCTCAAGACTTTCAGGCATAATAACTGACTTTATGAACGTCTGGATCCTTCAGTTTTCGTACCGAGGAGAGTTCCAGATTAGACTTGAGGAGGTGTTTGTGGGAACTGGCCTTGAATCATAGACACAACAGGACACCACAAACACATTCACCGCCACAGCTGAACTTCCAGACCTCCTCTCTCACTCCCTCGCTCATTGTCCCGGGTCTGACTGGCCATTCTCAGCCTGTGATGGAGATGTCCTGCGGGGGGTTGCATGGTGTGGGAACCTAGTTGATGAATGAGTGTTTGGCATGCTTGTGCACTCCTTTGGCATACTTTGTTCCAGTATGGTTTTTGTGTGTGTGTTATTGTGGTAACGGCGAATGCGTGCAT